TCTCATCATCATTGACAAAGCTTTTGCAAGTCAAAACTCGAATTAATTCTCAAATATATTACTTTATCAAATGACTCAAAGGGGAAAATATCATTCGAAAGACATTTTCCATATGCCCAACGAAATGCCGAATCATCATGAGAGCAACAATCTCCTGTCTCCACGCATACAAAACCCAACTTCGTTCCCAAAAAAAAAAAAAATTCTTCGGATGCTAATACTACACATTACCCCGCACTAGCTCATTCAGAGTTCAGACTCTAGAATCAAAAATACAAGCGTCAGGCATACCTTGATCCTGCGATTTTTGTTTTTCAAAAGACAAGTCACTGCAAAATGTAAATGAATCGTCAGAGAGGGTTTAATGGAGATGCGAATGAGCAGAAGTATGGGGCGGGTGTTACTGATAATAATTTGGAAAAAGCGTTGGTTGTAACAGAGGAACTTGAATAGAGTGAAAGAGGCGGCGAAGCCAGAAGAACAATATGTTAATCAAGTGAAAACCCTAGTGGAAGTTCCAATCCAACCATGCAATGCAAATATCTCAATGCGATCATTATATCCTTATGGAATGTAATAGATTGCAACAACTTACCTCCTTGGCCTTTTTCTTCCGTTCTATCTTGCAACCAACTTTGCCCTGTCAAAACGTGAAAAAGAGAATCACAAAGAGGTTCCAACAGTAGTATTAATTAATTTAAGTTAAATTTTAAATATTAAATTATAGGAATTCATAACTTAATCTTTTAATTTTATAATTATATTGTGATGGATTTACAACTTGTTCTTCAAATTTTAACATGATTGAAGAATAAAAAAATTATTTTTTTATTAAAATTTAAAATATAAGTTACAAATTTATCATAATAGAATTACAAAATTGAGAGATTGAATTATAAATTATAAATTTTTAAAATTTAATACTTGAGATGTAATTGATATATTTGTTTCGCATAACTTAAAGAAAAGACTTGAATTAATTTGACACTTGCTCTGTTCAGGTAAAGGCATAACCTTTAGCATTAATTTGAAGAAAAGACTTGAATTAATATATTATTGTTTAAAATTAAACAATAATATTATTGGCCACGCATAACTTACGGTTATTGTTGTAAATCTGTAAATTAAGGTCTTCACTCTCATGCATAACCTTTTAATATTATTAATTGGCCAACAAAAGACTTGATGTCCTGTTATGGTTATTGTTGTACGTTGTTATAATATTAAAAGGTTTATGCGATTTGGATAATAAGGACGACCAAGTCATGACACCTCTTCAAACTCAAATACTTCCTTTATTAAAAAATATAAAATTTTTTTAAAGAGTTGAATGTTAAAAAATATAAAGTATTTTTAATCTTTTGAAGTGTAATCGTTGCTTTTTTAAAAAGTATCCCCATTAATAATGACTTTATATTTATTATATGATATTTAATAGAGGTGAATATGAAAAGATATAGTTAATTTGAAAGTAAGTAACTACTTTATTAGAGGCGAGATTCAATTAAAAATGTTTTATATTTTGAACGGAGAGGGTAACATTTATATAAAATACTTACAAATTATTTATCAATAAAATCTTCACATGAGGATTCAGGAGCAGGATTTGATCCTACAATTTTGTGAGTTATAAATTAAATCTTTATTAACTGAATTAACATTCACTGGTGTGATAAATATCTTTTAGTTAATATTTAAGAGTTATATTCTCTGAAAATTATATATTTTTTAAAATTTTCTATGAGTAATATTTTTTCAGTTTTAAAAATCATTAGTTAACTTTATTAATTCTTCATTTTTTTTTAAAAAAAAAGGCATCATGAGAGTCATCTTTATTTTTTAAAATACTCGACTATATTTTGAATTTAAAACTTCATTCTCAAAATAATTTTAAAAAATAATCCAAAAAAAAAATATTGTACACAACTACCAAAATTTAAAAGAGACGAAAAAACAAATTGTAAAAACTAAAAAGAAATCTACACATGCTCGCTGAAGAGTGAAGACTATTAATTTAAATAATTCAACGTTAGATGAAGTCTTGAATTTGAATCTTATAAATATAAAAACTGCAAAGAGAATCTCATAACCCTAACACGTTGGTGGTCCTAACTTACCATCAAGACTTACAATGACTAGCCTTGCTTTCACCTTACCTCAAGCATCCATGCATACATGGTGTTTAGAATTAAAATTAACAAACACGTCTTCATGATTTTGCTTTCATCCGTAAAGTTACAAGACTGTAAGGTAAATATTTGTTTTACCAAATTCCTATCCTTGAACTTTCAATCCAAAATATATATGCCTTTTCATATACGATTACAATCCAATTGAATACAAGATAAACACTTACCGTATTTCAATTCCCTTTCAGTAGTTATGTATATTGCTTCGAAGCAAGGCTTCTCAAACAAACAGTGTAGTTACAGCAATTACAGCAACGACATATGCAGCTTGTGTGATTTGCGTGTGCATGCCCCATCCAATAATTAATTAGGCCGTTTAATTACTGTTTCCAGAAGGGTAATGTAATTGGTATATAATTAATGACAGTGCAGTCACCATCACAGGTGATTAATTAAATTCCTTCTGTAAATGGCTAGGTGGGTTAATCTCTCTGATGCTTGTGGACTCAGAATTTGCTACTTGAAGGAAAGAAAATTATATCCTCTGATATACAGCTGTAGAAGTGTAGAGACATTTATCTTACTTGTTAAGATTTTTGTAGTAAAGTCTCCTCGTCATGATTTCTTCAAGCCTACAAATCTATCTGATTGGTTAATAACAATATGACTCATTATTAGGAATGATGAGGTGTATCTTTCTAATTACTGACCCATTTCAAGTTTCATGAGCTGGATCCCCAGAGTTATTTCTTTGTCGTTAATTCTATACAAAACAAAAATTTCCAAAGTGAAGTTTGCCACATCAGATCATTTACTTTATTTATGTATTCATATTTAAGAAACAACATAAATTTTAATCCATACATTTTTTTATTTATGGATTTAGTTTTATAAATTTTAATTCAATACAAATTAGTCGTTGCAATTTACATTAAATTAAAGAATTATAGGGAGTAAACTGTGTCAAATCAAAATATCACAAAGAATGGGTTGGTTTTGAGTTAAAAAAAAATTATAAGGATTGAATTGTTTCAATTTCAAATTCAAACATTGACTCAATAATTGAGAAAAATTCAGGAACTAAAAGATTATAGTTTCTTTGCATTTAAAGAAAGACGTATCACAAATAGATGAAAAGCTATATTGAGATTGGTTTTTTGCAGTGTTAGTGTGAGGATGATGGTGTCGCAAAGGGAAGAGAGTAGAGAGAGAGAGAGAGAAAAAACAGAGGAGAAAATGATGTGAAAATATGGAAAAGGAAAAGGGGAAAATGATGACTGTTTCAAGACTCATGACAGGCTTAACAACATCATTTCCTTCCTTTCATCCAACTTTAGCTTGGTAATGGTCCTCCTCTCTTCTTATCTTACTTTTTATATATGTGCATGACTTGTATTTTTCTACCAATTCTTCACGTCATCACTTGATTGGGTAAATCTTTGGACAAATTTATTATGCTAATTTTGATTAGTGATTCACTTAATAATTCCTAGTCCCTACTTCAACATTTATTGGTTCACCTAGCAAGGAGTTTGGTTTTTCTTGAATAAAGTCTGATATTTAAATTAATGATAGTTTAATCAAGCGAAAGATACTTGAAATCTTTAAGTAAAATTGTCTGTTCGAATTTTATGAATAGAAAAAAAAAACCACTTTAAGAATAAACCCGCATTTAAATCTAACAATGTTGAAATTTGATCTGGTATTATTATCTGCTGAATAGTTAAACTAAAAAAGTTTTATATTTAAATCTTATGACTGTGAATAAATAAATTTACTCCAGTTAGAAAGTCCAACCAACTTGATTTAGATTTACTGGGAATTGATAAACTTTCTAAGGATCAAAAAATTTATTAACAGGGAAAAAAAATATCAGCTTGCTTTATTAGATGTAGATATTTTAGAAGGATACTTATAAACATTCATGATTTTTGTGACGTGATTTTGCAACGTTCAGATTTTCTGATCCCTTTTGAAGTTTACTCTCTCTCTCTCTCTCACACACACATTAAAATTAATTTTGTATGGAACATAATTAGAGGTGCTTTCAACAACCAACAGAAACAAGGGTGGGTGACAAACCTTTGAAATATGATAAAACTATATATAAAGAAAGCAATCCGACTTACTTTTGATTATCTTTTTGTCAGAATTCCTTAGGCTGTCAGATTCGAATATGTGTGATTAAAAGACGAGATTAATTATTAGTTAAACTATCCCCACTCCTTTACGTAATCTCTTTTGGTATTATAGTCAAATGGCTGTCCACGTTAATCTCAACATATCTCAATTAATTTATTTTTTCTAGTCCAATCAAAGTCACATCATCATGAAAAGAATGTTTACTAAGAAAATCTCCCTAATCAATCTCCACGCAAAAAATAACAAACTAATCAATATTAACATCAATTATATAGTTAAAAATTCATTTAAACAAAGTCATGAACAGTGTACATTATGTGCAATGCACCGGCTCAATTGAATCTAGCTAAAAATTTGAACTTGTAAACTAACATTCAAGGAATTAATAAAAAGCAGGGAAGCTGAGAGATCATGCCCCTAATATGATCAATCATAGTATTGCGTAAAGCGAATTCTGCTGGGTGTTTACCATGCATGAAACGTGTGAATTAATATTAATTTATTGCTGTATTATGGCATATTAGTAACCTATAATTTCTTCAATTAGAATACAATTTAAATAGTGTAGCCTTAACCTTCACCCAAAGACACATAGATGGAAAAACATGGGTGACTTGCAAACCACTCAAGCCATTATTTCGTGCGAAAGAAAAATTAAAAATACCCTCTTGTTTATCCTCTCACATGAGCTTTATTTTATGGTCTTTTTTAACTTTAAGCACAAGCAGATAAAAACAAACAAGAATATATTATAGCTGAGAAAATAAAGTAGACAGAGAAAAGGAGGCTCACTTTGTCAACAATACAAGGTCAAAATATAGCAAGAAAAATTGCATCAAAATGATCAAGATGGACATTATTCCATGATTATTTCTGTTCCCTTGGCTTGAAGGTGAGGCATGCCTATTCTGATTGTGGGGTTCCAAGCCATGTATGTAGCGCATAGACTGGTTCAGTGATCTGCCCCAGAAAAATTTAAAAACATTGACCTATTCTTCCCTAAATTCTGCTAGCCGACAAGCTAGTGTCCCTATGTAACCGCCCTTACAAAGCTTTTGTTTTCTCCGGGTTTGAGTATTTGCAAAGATAAGTATCTTCTTCTAAGATCATTGCATGGCCACATCTACTATTTTAAATTGACTTATTCCATATCAATGGAGCATGAACTGAAGGGTGGTCTGGTCTGGCGTATGAAAAATCCGCTGCCCTAGATGGTTTGGACTGTGTGAAAGGAAGATCATTATCACATGGGTACCAGACATGCATGCAGGCAAGAATCGGTGTCTAGACAAACGTAAAGAGGAAAGAAGCAGTAGATGTTAATGATGATTATGAGTTCCAATGTTTCTTATTAATGGAAATGATTCTCTCGGTGTATACTTAATATGTAAGATTAGGCTAATGATAATTATGCATTTGAAATCACTGGTAAAATCTCATGAAGTGAACAAATGGCAAACCTCATTTATTTTATTGAAAGGGCAGGAGGATGGGTAATTGAGTTAATCAATTTACTTATTTTTTATTAGTTAGTTAAAGAGAATAGCATGGAGATCCAAGCATCAACAATCACTTTTGATGCAGTAACAAGTGCGAGTTAATCATAATCATGTGGTAAAGCGATGATATGAAGAATTCAACGTAAAGAATAAAAGAGTCCAAGTAACACTGTTGAAGTCCTAACTTGGAACTTTTGAAGTGGACAAATCTGGAAGCATTGATTTCCCATGATCACGTGTGTCTCCTAGCCAACAAACCATGACTGTCCCTCAAATTATGGTCTCCCTTTGCCTACGTGAAACCTTGTTCAACCATTAAAAACCCCTCACTACCCCAGCACGTTTCTCCACCTATAAATCAATTTGCAATCTCACCTATAACCTAAATAGGCTATACCTCCAAGTAGTTCTTTCCTTCCTGCAAAACTATCCAGGAACCCTGATACAACAGCCATGGTTTCTGAGACAAACCTATCCAAGAATGTCTGTGTTATTGGAGCAGGGCCATCTGGGCTAGTGGCAGCGAGGGAGTTGAGAAAAGAAGGTCATAAGGTGGTTGTGTTAGAGCAGAATCATGATGTTGGGGGTCAATGGCTATATGATCCCGATGTTGAAGGGGAGGACCCTTTAGGAAGGGACCTTTTCCTAAAGGTTCATAGCAGCATTTATGAGTCTTTGAGGCTCACATCTCCAAGAGAGATCATGGGATTCACTGATTTCCCATTTTCTGTCAGGAAAGGTGGAGACATGAGGAGGTTTCCTAGTCACACAGAGCTCCTTCTGTACCTCAAGGATTTTTGTGATTCGTTTAGGCTCAGAGAGATGATCAGGTTCAATACAAGGGTGGAGTATGTGGGGATGTTGGATTATGGTGTCTGTCATGATGATTTGAAATGGGCTGTTAGAAGCAAAGAGAAGAAGACTGGTAAAGAGGTGGAAGAGGTGTTCGATGCAGTGGTTGTCGCCACTGGCCACTACTCTCAACCAAGGTTGCCCTCCATTCAAGGTAGGTGTAAATCTCAACTTCAGTTTATGTATCTTAAGAGGAAAAGCATATGTCAGACTCAGAATCGTGCATAGCTATACATTCGAAGGTCTCAAATATAACTTATCTTTTTGTTTTGCCCTCTCTCTGTTTCCTGTTTCATAGGAATGGAGTCATGGAAAAGGAAACAAATGCACAGTCACATTTACAGATCACCAGAGCCATTCAGAAATGAGGTAAAATATTCAAATAATCCCTATAACTGCGAGAGATTTTTGTTTAAACTAAACAAGCTCTTTTAAAACTGCAACTGAGGTGAGTCTTAATCCAACAGACTGTGGTAGTGGTTGGAAATTCATTAAGCGGACAAGATATCTCAATAGAGCTTGTGGAGGTAGCAAAGGAAGTGCATCTAAGCTCCAGATCCCTCAATATCTCCGAGGGTCTATCTAAAATCATATGCAAACACAAGAATTTGCACCTTCATCCACAAGTATCATCACTTCTTATCCACTGGGTTTGAATTTTAAGGGGAATAGTAGAAAGCAAAACCTGATTCACTACCGTTATTACAATGTGCAGATAGACAGCCTTCAAGAAGACGGACGAGTTCTTTTCGTGGACGGTTCCAGCATTATTGCCGACAGTGTTTTGTACTGCACCGGGTAACATTCATCTCAGTAGAAATTAAGTACGGAAAATGTTGATTAGAACACTTATCTGCGAACATATAGCTGTTTTAGATTTTAATTGTTACCAACAACAGGTCAAAGGAGTTTTGATTGGACGATGATTGTAACCTTCACATTAGAGATCTCATTGTGGGGCCCTGTGTCTAAACATGTCCTGATGTTTCCTTTTAAAAGTTAATTAGTTGTGAATCCTCATAAATTGAGAGGTTTCCATTGTTTGCGTAGGTACTCCTATGCGTTCCCTTTTCTTAACACCAAAGGAATGGTAGTTGTGGATGATGACAGGGTGGGTCCTCTGTATGAGCACACTTTCCCCCCCTCCCTTGCTCCATCTCTATGTTTCATAGGCATACCTAGAAAGGTAAATATGTATTTGTTCAGTAGCAAGAACTGAATCTGAAAATTTTTATCACCATAATACATAAATTTACACAATCGAAAAGAGATATGCAAAAACAAGATGAATATATTTAGAGAAAAAATGAACTTCATATACATTTTCACTGCTTGTATTGATCGTAAGGAGGAGGAACAACCAACTCAATCAGAAGTAGAAAATCTTTTTGCATAGGTTAAACTAACAGTATTACTGATTGATGGATACAATACAGATCATAGGGTTCCCTTTCTTTGAGTCCCAAGCAAAATGGATAGCTCAACTGCTGTCTGGGAAAAGGGTATTGCCATCAAGAGAGGAAATGATGGAATCAATCAAGGACTTCTATCATTCAAGAGATATAGCTGGCATTCCCAAGCACAACACCCATGACATAGCAAATTTTGAGGTGCAGACCCCATTACACATGCAATTATTTAGATGTTGACTTTCTGAAAGAGTTCTTTCAATTGTGATAATCGAAAAGTCTTGTCTAAATGCACATGCACTTTAATAAAGTGTCCGCGAAGAACACATGGGTTTTGCTAAAGCGTTACCTCATCTTGCAGTACTGTGACAAATATGGAGAATATGTAGGATTCCCACGTTTAGAAGAATGGAGAAAAGAGCTATGCCTGTCGGCCTTAAGAAACGCCGATGTCAACTTGGAGACCTATAGGGATTCGTGGGATGATGACGAGCTGCTTCAGAAGGCACTTCAAAGCCCCCATTTCACTCAACTTCGAGTTGAAGATTCTCCCCTGTAAAGCAGATTTTGATTTTGGGCCACTCGAAAGTGGCAGAAACGCAGAAGACGGGGGAACAAAGCACATGGTTAGGACTGGGCAAAATCAAGAGCATCGATTTCACAAAGAAGATATATTTCTGTATTGAATTTTTTCGTCATAGTAAAATTTTTGTGTTCAAATGGGTGTAATCGATTATAGGTTATGTACACACTACAAAACAATAGAGTTCTCAGCCAGTCGAGTCCGATTGCTGTAAACAAAGACTTCGAAGGAGAAAAACTGTCATTCAGGATGGACCAAAAAACCTGTGGAATGATATTAGTTGGCGTATTTTTTATTTAAGAAAAGAAACATTTTTCTGAAAGCATTTTAATAGAAATGGAAAAAAAAAAATAAATTGGAACTGGAATTTGAATAAAAAAAAATGAGCCTGGAAATGTTAAAAATTAATAAACTCCTCCATCCTCAACATCATCCTTGTCGGCTCAACAACATCGAGCACGGATTTGAATCTTCAACATCAAACCCAAAACAAACATAAAAAGACCGAGAGTTTGAGACTAGGAAGAAGATGATGGAAATGCAAGAGGATCTTTTCATTTTTGATCGAAGAGGAAGAAGCGGATCTGTAATGCCAAAGAAGATGCCGACGACAAATGATCTGCAAACGGAGGGAGGACGTAGAGCGAGGAAGAGTGAGGAAGAAGAAGAGGATCTTGAGATCTGCGACGAATCTGACGGCGGTGGAAGAAAAAGAGGCAGTCATCGCCGGTGAGGAAGAGAATCGTCGAATAAGGAGAAGGTAGTGCTCCCCGGATAAGAATGGAGTGGTCGCAGTAGAAACCTGTGACAAGTGCTCGCTGGAGAAGAAGGCAAAGGTCGCAGGGGGTGCTCGCCGGAAAGAAGAAGAACAGGGTGTTGCCGTCGGCTAGAGCTTCTGGAAATTTGAGGACGTCGAACCAATGAATGAAGGGTGGGGGCAAATCTGGAAATTTGAAGAAATCTCAGGGATATTTTAGTCAGGAAAAAAGGAAAAAATTACATTGGCTGAGCCAAGAAGCCTGATTGTTTGGAAATTCATTTCTCAAAACCCAAACTCATCTCATGGCAGCCAGCTGCAGGAGACGAGGTTTCCAATTCTATTTCGATATCTCATAACCCATTTCCAGCGAACAAAACAGGATTTAAGCTCTTCGTATTTGCTCGAAAAAAAACACCTCTTTGGCGCAGATTAAGAATGATTCAATTCAATGTAACAAAAAATAGAATAAAATTATTCATATTTTGAATTTGAAGACATTTGCTTTGGGCAACAAAGTAACAAACCACAATACAAAGGGGGTGTAACTACAAGGTGCATCAAGATTGAAAATCTCTATTAGAAAAGGTATCACATTTATTTCTAAATCAATTTTACTCAATGCGTTTTAACTAAATTAATTTTGCCCAAAATCATGCTTATAAATCAAGTTTATCTTTTACCCAGATCTCATATAAACCACCATTAATTCCTAAAATAATTATAACATAATTATGATTTGGTTCTTCAAAAATTCATAATTTTATGTAGGTTAAAACTTGGAAAGGATTTTTACCAAAAAAAAAAAAGACTTGGAAAGGATTTGGTCCCTAATTAGTACAACATAACAAACCCTCAGTAAAGTTCTAAATATGAATGCAAAGATGCTAAGCAGCGAGGAGGTCAAACAACAGGGTAACCAATTGGATCATCCATCAAGCAAGCCAGATGGAAAAAAGTTCTTACATCTCCAACCAAAAATATACACGATTTTTTCCTATCTATCTGTTAACATGTATACATTATTATTTATGAAGGAATTTACAGGACGATCTTGAAACTCATTCAAAATCCACTGTTTTAGATTCGTTTATAACATACTTGGCCCCAAAAAACCTGAGGATCTCTGGCAGGATATCTCTTTCCCCTAGGCTTTCGGTTTCCCTTTCCCCAGCTGATTAAACCTCTTTTCTCAATTCCCAATTCAACGCCACTAGTTAGCTGCTGCTTCAAAAGCAAGCCTGTATTGTTGGAAACCAAAGCAGTGGACCTTCTCCTTCCTCTGGCCAATGCATTTCTGCCCGCACCTCTTAGAGAAACTCTTCCTGAGTGAGCACCAGCAGCTTCCATTAGACCCCCAATGGTTTGAAGATCCTCGGTGACCTCATATCTAGACAGAGAGGTGAGACTTGGTAGAATTTCACTTTGAAAGTCCTTTTGCCGCTTTGCCTTATTTGCCCATCCCTTCCTTGGCCGAGTTGGCGAAGTAGATCCACCTTCTTCCTCTTTCAGGCCACTGCTCTTTCTGCAGCAGTCTAAGAACTTAGTTTCAGTCAAGTTTAAGGTCATAGCCTCAAAGTAATCAATGCCAGCTGGAAGAAACTCCTCATGATCACTGCCATTACCAGTGAAATCTGCCTTAATGCCATTCCCAGGATGATCAATTACTGAGGAGGCAATTACGGCGAACCAATGAAGAGGACTACTCATAAAAGATTCAGAAGGCGCACAGGTGATCATTTGGAGATCGTTATGGCCCACAGATTCTGATATAGACACCAAAGCCTCTGCTGCAACTCTGACTTCCTCTAGTTGCAACTCAGAACACTCTTGTCCTGCCAATCGATATTGCGTCTCAAGCTGGTTTTCATCAGATTCTCCTCTGGGTGGAGAAGATTCCTTGTTTTCAGGACTCACAGGTGCCTGAAAATCAATATCAACAGGCGAGTTCTCATCCTCATTCATGGATATATTTAAGTCAATGATACCTGCTCCACAATTAAGTTTTCTTTCCCGTTCATTCTTTGTCAAATTCTCTCCAGAAGTTATCTGATCTCCAAAGCCAGGCACATGATTACGAGGTAACTCAATATCAGATACACAGCCCTTCTCAATTTCCTCAATCTTCTTGTTTTTTGTTTGGTCCTGACAGACTGTGGAGGGGGAAGCATGAAAAGAATGCTGCTCTGAGGAAGCCTCCAGATCTACATTAATGTTACGTGCATGGATCTCCTTTCTACTACAGTCTCTTGCCTCAGTATTCATTAATTCAAACCCATGTGTAATTCCAGAATGACAAGGTTTCAAAAGGAAAGAGTCCGTCCCGGTAGAGATTTTATTTTCTTCACAGGGTTTTCCTTTGGGTAAAAGATCTTCTTTAACGTTTTGAAATGCTGCTGTTTCAGAAATATTTGCAGGCATAACATTTAAGTTTATGTTATTAGAAGTCTCCACATCTTCAGAATCCTTAACACACTTCCTAAGCTCATGGCTGGTTGGTGAGCTTTGATTGGCAAAGCCGTTTAGATTGTTGGTAAGAAATGATGGTGCATCAGATGTTTTGGATCCACCGGAAAAGCAGCTCTGAAGAAAGTTTTGGCGATCCAAATGAAAGCCACATTTAATATTTGTACACCCATATAACTCATCTCCAGTAGGCCCAGGTAGCCTTGTCAATGGCTTAGACCTCTGATCAAACAGTTCAGAGGTGCTAAAATGAGGCAGTGCTTGAACTACTGTTTGGTTTTCAACTGTGTCAGCTCCAGATGTTCTCAAAAAAACTCGTGGAGGAATCCTGGAACTTATCACATCTGGCCCAGAGAAGAGCATATAAGGATCACTGCTTGGTCCAAGCAAGCTGGCACTCATTGGACCCTTCGTTGTTCCTACAAAGCACTCTCCGCCAGAAAACTTTCTTTCCCTCCAGGGACTTTGGTTAATTTGATCTGAGAAACAAAAGCACAGAAGGCTATCAACTTCTTAATAAGTAATTCAGATGAAACATATAGCTTTTCTGAATTAATCACTTTAGCGAAAGAATCCTAGACACCATCTCTTTACCCATTAAAAAAAAAAAAAAGGATTTCATCATACAAAACTTGGAAAAAGTGGGGACAACAAGGATGCGTACGGCTAAAATAACTGTGCAAAACCTGCACATAGACTGACTTTATACAGCAATTGACTGGTGAAAATAGTGAAGTATAATAATTGCCATGCAATCTCAAAGTCAAAGTCTCACCAGCATTTATCATATGGTACAGTCGTTCCTGTTTCTTCTCCTTCCCTAAGGGTTGGTTGTCTGAACAGACTTCATGATCCTGTCTTTTATAAGGATTCCAGAGTACATCATTGGAGATATTATGACCCCTTCTCATGGACAGATCATGAAAGGTGCCCTTCCTGTGACTGGTAGGGCCATTTAGATCATCAGACTTTACAGTTGCCTCTTTCATGAGTTGAAATGGTTCATTTAAATTGCTAAAACCATTAGAGTTAGCTCCATATGGTCTCTTATCACTGTTACAACAGCCTGAGAAACCCCTTCTAAAGCATAAGCTGAAACCATGGGCAATTTGGAAACCATTTCATCTTCCAAAGACTTGGTTTTTTCACTATCAATGTAGTCATCAGCAGAAAGATGGAGATCCAATAATTTATTGCCAGCTTTCCTGTTTTCAGAATGTGATGGTTTGAAATCTTTTGAACATCCTTCGGTTGGAAATAGAGCAGAAGCAGAATATATTTGCCTGCTGTTTTCTTTCCCAGAGCCCAGTGACATCTGGATGCTTTCAGCAGCTATAGCAGATGTTTGACCAGTAGACAATGGCAAGTAAGGCGTTTTAGAAGATACATGAGATGGGAAAGAACTTGACCATGATGTCCCCGAACTTAAATGCTTATCAGAACTCCTTTTAATGTCATCCATTAGTTCCTTCTGTCTCTTGTAAAGACGGTGCAGCTCTTGAATCTGATCAGCAAAGCACAGTTCAGAGACTTAAAAATAGTTAGGAAATTAGTGAGGTTATAACAATAATGGAAGATTAAATAACTACTATAAATGCCAACCAACCATAATATTAATGAAATTAAATAACGACAATTAATTCTCAAGATCATTGCAATTAAACTTATTATGGTTTCCTTTTGCTCCTTAATTTTATGGTCACTCTTCCAACATGTACAAGATAATTCTTTGCATGTATTTTATTCGGTTCTAACACACAGTCCCCTTCATCCATTAATTCTAAAAGCAACCACATCAGATCTCAAGGGGTCACGTCATTCTCCATTTCAACACACTACATAGACTTGTCACATATGACATCAGGATGTCAAGACTCAAGAGGCGGTTTCACAATGGCGGACAGTTTCACATCAATTGTCTGGTTTAGACAAGAAATCATGCATATTACAAAGACAATATTCAATAATAATTAAAAAAAAGTTACGGCAAGCAATTGAGTGAAAATATGAGTATGGATGAAAATTCAAAATGATAAATCTGATTATAATTAGACATCAGGAGGCAAAGGTCATGAGAAAATATAGATAACATACTTGTTCCCTAAACATGGCTTCATGCTTGAGTATTGTCTGTTTCACTAGTTCCTTATTGTATTCTAAATGGTAAACCAGTGATGATACTGGCAAGGAACCATTGCTCGAGTGATCATTCGGTATTTCAATGTTATTATTAGATGAGGTCCTTGTGCTGCCTTCTGTGCCAAAGATGAGGCCCCTATGAGAGTGATATCCTGGGACTGTGCCATTGCATTGCACATTTGCACCCATACCCAACAATGCCATCATGGAACATGTAGAGATAACAATTTATAACATGGTACCCTCAGCTCCAATTGAATGAAAACCTGTAACAAAACCAAATGTAAGTTACTTGTTCTGTTGTTTAAAAAGTAATAATAATACGCCCCAGAAGAACATCATTTTATTTTGGTTTGTATCATGATTGTTAACGGAAATACAAGAATGCCAATTATTATCTGAAGTGGTGTCTCTGGACAATACATATGTGAGCCACGAAAATGAGGAAAAATTTTAAATAGGATGTTTCACATATCTTAAAATGTCATCATCCAACAGTCAAGTCAACAGACAAAATTTGCATACACAGCATAGTTCTAGAACATTGACGGTTTCATGCACCTTTTAGCAATCAGATGCTTTCCAAAGAAACAGGACATTTTTTTGTTCTTGTCGCCGAAAGCAAGGACATAAACATTAGATGCACAGTAATTTAATAGCGACAAATTAATATGCTAACAAAAATCTGAAACATGCCTCTCCATTCTTCTATCATCTTGTTTATACGTTAAAGATTATATAGATTGCACAAACATACTCTAACATGGAATGGAAAGAGCGTATACTCTCCAGATGAGAGATATCCAGACATGACCAAAACAATCTATCCCACTCAACCAAACATGTTGTCTAACAACAACTAGCCCTAAAAAACCACCCTCCCCATCCCCAGAAAAGAAAAGCATGAGCTTAATACAATTTATAATAAGAAGAACAAAGTGCAGAGCCGCTAAACAAAGAGGTGACTTCAGAAGAAAAACACCGTCAGAAATTTAGAAAGGAAAAATGGATTCATTGAAGAACATTAGGCCCTGCATGTTGCTTAACCACAATTGAAGTGTCTTCGACACAAATCCTAGATAGATATAACAGTTCACTCGGCATATTTATTTTGTATTAAAGGTACTAAACATGAACTAGTGAAAAGCTCATCATTACTTTAAACGAGCACAGCTGCCCTCTCAATAAAAGATTTGAATTCATTCCAGACTACAAACAAATGCTTTGATGCAGGACAGTAGCCAAACTTTTCAATGAAGATAAAAGTATCCACGTAAAGAACGCACATTTATCTCCTTCCATAAACAGAACTCATTCCGAAATCAATATTGGTAAATGTCATTGGTCCAGATGAAGATTTAGACAACAAACTGAGTTTACAAATGGCATCCATGGCATAAATTGCAGCCATAAGAAAGTTTAGCAAACAAGCGCAAAGGAGGATCAGAATGATTCCACCCAGCAATTAGAAGTTATAACAAGAATTGGAGTCCCAACCCTGTTAAAACTCGTGAGGCTTATGGAAGGAAAAAGACGAGAGGAAATAATTCCCTGAGGATAGAATTATGCTGACGACCCGTGAAACCACCAGAAAAATGTCATGAAACAAATCTTACCAGCAAATCACCTTTTGCAGCAGAACCAGATGCCCAAAGAATCCATCACAATGAATAAGCCACCAAAAACGATAGTTCTCATCCTCCGAAATTAAGAACAAGACCTGCTGATTTGCTCTTGGGGAAAAACTGAAAGCAACTTCAATCAAAATCGTCCGATAACCCGGAAAAAGTATCTGGACGAATGAATGGAGAATGTATGAGAATCGCATTCATGCAGTGAAACTATCAGAGAATCCGATCGAATTTTACAAATTGCAGGAGGCAACCAGAAAGAAAAAAAAAGTACAAGCCGATGGAAATTACATTAATTTATGACATTAATTGAAACCTCTCTTTTGCAACTGGAACGCTCTTACAAAGCGAGTGAAGAAAAATGCCGATACTACTGAACTCGAGTACATTAGTCACTGACTCAAATCGGAATCGTCCTTCGGAACTGTTCCAAAATGATGAAGAGTCGTTGAAAAGTACCGATTTCGACCACAAAAACTTATCAATGATCATTCGATGCGAAAAAAAAAAAAAACCCAGCGCAAATAGAAGAAAATACCGAAAATCAGAACAATCCCATCCGGAAAATGTTCTTTACGCACGGAATCCAGAAAATCAATATAAACTTACCCGAAGAAGAAATCTAATTCTAGTCACCTCTCCAAAACCCAACAACGGAATCACCACTCATTGTACCTCGAAGCTTGCTAAGTAGCAGAAACAAAATGAAGAAAAACAAAAACCGCCGAATGGGAAGCCAGAAATCCGGAAGCAGAGCAAATGGCCCAAAAAAGCTCCAAAATCAAAAAGTAAATCTTTCAGAGAAAATGGGAAAAGCAGATAAAATGGGGATTTGGATCTGCTGGGCCATTCTCTCTAGGAAGATATCAGAGAGAGAGAGAGAGAGAGAGATCCCAAGAATGAAATCCGCTGAACCAAACGAAACTTACATGAGAAGGGACATTAAAGTTGTCAACACCCTCGTCTCTCTCTCCTTCGTCGCTTTCTTATTTATGTTTTTTTCTGATTTATTTTAACACTCTGTGAAAAAAAAACAAGCACGTATGTAATGCAATGTAATGCAGCCTCTAGATTCTCTCCCCCATATTTGTTTCTGGTTTTGTTAAAGAAAAAATTACCAGTATCAATCCCCACCAAAATGAAGAAGAAATCAAAGATCAAAACCAGACATCAGTCCTGCTGCACAGTCTCCACCTCTGGTTGCCCCAACAAGAATCAAAAACGTTATCTTCTCTCTCTTTTGTTTTGGCGCAGAAAAAGAAAAAACACGAATCTTTATTCTTCAAAACGACCTTGATCCTTCCAAATTAATTTTTTATTGGGATTTGCTTCATTCTTTATTGGTTTTTTTTATAATTACTTTATAGTAGTCAGCAGTGGTCCCACTTATTTATTTATTCAAGCATATGCCGCATGCAAGCTCTATTAATTGTAGTGACATAAATGGCTCCTATAGTTCACCACAATTACCTGAATGACCACTGGACATCTTGCCTTGGTTGCAATTTCTTCTGATCTTTTGACCATTCTGTGTTGCCCCTATGGAATCAGCTAATCAAATCGAAGCAACTATTATTAAGGAAAGGTGAGACATTGTAATCAGACTGTATTAGCTTGTAATCTTATAAGTGACTGTGAGGAATCTATTTTGATTACTTGATAAATCTACAAGTTGAAATTATTGGTGGGAGTATCCAATCTTATCATCCCTTATGTGTACTTTTCATTTCTTCTTCTTCTTTTTTTTTTCCAAGTCATTTATCCATCACAGAACTCAGAGTCTCGCGTCATTATATACTCTGTCCAACTTTTTTAAATGTATTTTTTATTTTAGGAAATACTCTACAAACTGAGATTATTAATAAGAACATTTATAAGTTTTTTTTTAATATCACTATATTACATTTATTTATATTTATAATTAACATGTAATAGATCGATATAAAGAGTTTTAAATGAGGGGCAAATTTATGTCTTAAATGCATCTTACATTTGGTTGTTTTGCTTATAAAATGAAAAAAAAGAGAGAGAAAAGAAATCATGCTTAAGATTTGCTCATAATATATAAAATTTATTATTAGGATAAATTTGATAATTCTAGACCTAAAAAAAAGTAACTCATACAAGGGATTGTTTTAAATTAATAAGGTTAAAACCTAAATTCTTCTTAAACAAAATTAAATCTCTTTTATTCGACCAGAGTATACACGTAATGATTTGATGTGCAAGTACTTATTTATTATTAATAAGAATTGATTTGATTTGGTTAACATGACAAACTTTATATCCAATTAACCTAATCACTTTAAATAAAACGAAACTAATCTAATCTAAACGGCATTTAAAACTGTAGGCATTGGATTCAACTGATTGATTAATTTTTAATAGAGATAATTATGTAGGTGGAGATCATAAACCAACGTCACACACTCACACGTATATGAAATAAAACAGATTTTTTTTTTTTTTTGCATCGACATGGTTGAATTGAATTCCACATGGGAGGAAACTTCAAATCTTGTCTCTGTCTGAAGTTACCGATCTGTTCCTTTCTTCGCCTCCTCGTTTTTGGGTCTTAATTGTATCATGTTCTTTTCTTCTCTTCATGACCAACCCTGTTCATCATTCAGCTTAATCTAGCCTGGTTAATTAATTTATTAACATTAATTTAATTCTTTTTTTTTATTCCTTTGCTTTTCAAAGGAGTCAACGTATAACAACTGGTCTCTATCTGGGACTGGTTAGAGCAGAATGTGAGGAAGTGAAGATTTGTTCCCAAAAATATTTACCAGCCATCATCATCGTCAATATATATCTACAAATCTTATAAAATGAAGATGATTGGTTATAAATGTCTTCTCTTTCATTGATCTACATACTTTTTGTATAATGTTAATGTTAATTATTCTCTCTCATTGGCCCATTAATTTTTGTATAATTAATTTAATTTTAATCTAATATTAATATTACTATTTTATTGGTTGATGTGATTGAATGTTTTTTCATTGGTTAGCATAATTTAATTTATTTTTTTCATTTATTTTAAATGATTTTTATATTTTCACTGGACAGGAGCATTAAATTAAATTAATAAATAAATAAATATCTAAATCTTGTAGGATGAAGGTGATTGACCACAAATCTCTTCTCTCTCATTAGTCGACATATTTTGGTATAATATTAATTATCCTCTCCAATTGGTCCAATAAATTTTGCATGATGAATTTAATTTTAGTATAATATTAATATGAATATTATTATTTCATTAGTTGATGTGATTAAATATTTTTTTCTAATTGGTTGATGGAATTTAATTTATTTTTTATTTATTTTAATTGATTTTTTTCTTTTTATGGGATGGGAGCATTAAATTCTATTTCAAATTTTTCCTAAATCATCTATCATGGAAGAATTGACTATGTTGTTTTTCACGCTCTCGAGTTTTGTTAAAGAGTTTTTGTTCCTAGTATAAAAAAATTTTTGTGTCTCTCAATCTCATATGCCCTAATCAATGATTGATTAGCCATTCTCTTAAATAAATTTGTTGTTGATGGTAGAGAGTTGGGCGGTCAGGGTGGTAGAGTTTCATGCCTCTTTCCATCAACGTATATCTATAAATCTTGTAGGATGAAAGTGATTGGTCACAAATAACTTCTCCCTCGTTGATCAACATACTTTGGTATAATATCAATTATTCTCTCCTATTGATCTATTAATTTTTATACAATCAATTTAATTTTAGTCTAATATTAATATTATTATTTCATTAGTTGATGTGATGGAATGTTTTTTCTCATTGGTTAGCACAATTTAATTTATTTTTAAATTTTTTAATTGATTTTTATTTTTTATGAGACTGGAGCATTAAATTAAATTAATAAATAAATATTTTAAATATTTAAATCTTGTAGGATGAAAGTGATTGATCACAATTCTCCTTTCCCCCATTAGTCGTCATACTTTGATATAATACATTAATTATTTTCTCCAATTGGTCCAATAATTTTTGTATGATTAATTTAATTTTAATCTAATATTAATATGAATATTACTATTTCATTAGTTGGCATGATTAAATATTTTTTCTAATTAGTTGATAGAATTTAATTTATTTTTAATTGATTTTTTTCTTTTATGGGATAGGAATATTAAATTCTATTTCAAAATTTCTCTAAGTCATCTATCACGGAAGCATTAACTATGTTGTTTCCATACCCTCGAGTCTCGCTGGAGAGTTTTTGTTCCTAATACAGAAATGTCTTTGCGTCTCCCAATCTCATATGTCTTAATCGATCATTAATCAGTCATTCTCCTAAATGAGTTTGTTACCGATGGTGAAGAGCTGGGCGGTAGGAGTGGAGGAGTTTCACACCTCTTTTCGACCAATGTCAGGGAGAGAAATCTTGTAGCTTTAATCTGATTAGTCAAGAAAAATTGACTCTCATTGCATTGCTTAATAGATTTTAGGCTAATATTAATATGAAAATTTTTCTTAGTTCATCAATGAGATTTAATTTATTTTCTTAATTTTTATATATTTTCAGTTTACTTGTATTGGAGCATTAATTCAAGAATAGTCCTATTTTCAAATTTTTATGATTATTAGCATTAACTCCATCCGACTATCTTTCTCCATTTGCTATATTTTCTCATGCATTTTCAATTTTTTTAATCAATGAAATTTAATTTATTTTTTATTTTTCATGTATTTTCAGTGTACTTTCACGGGAGCATTGATTCAAAAGCAATCTCATTTTTAAATTCCCTTGATTGTTAGCATTAACTCCATCCGGCTATACTTTTACCGTGACTATACTTTTCCATGCCTTTTTAATTTTCCTAATCAATAAGATTTAATTTCTTTTTCTATTTTTCATGTATTTTCTTGATTTGTTATGCTCAATACTAATAAACTTTCATCAACTATCATCCATAAACATTATCTATAAAAAGAAAAAAAAGAAAATAAAAAAGTTTAAGTTTGATTTGAATTATCAATCCTTATTTTGTGATCTTGACCCTTCAAACCATACATGTTTCACCATATATTTTGTATTGACAAGATAATGCGGTGACTTTTTATCTTTTCACATAAAAGAAGTGAGGCAAAAATGATTTAGCAAACAATACATATTCAATTCTTTTACCATATATACAAGAAAAAATACATCTCTCCTTCTCGATGAAGAAGAAATAAGAGTGTATTTTCTTATGCATTTTAAGTACAAATTCATTTTATTCCTTCTGACCTTTTAATGTGTATAATATTTTTAAAAAATTTAATAATTTAAAATATTAGCAATAAATTTTAAATTTAGCTAAAGACAAGATATGTACAAATGAAATATTTAAGAAGGAAAATGATTGAATAGAGAAACTTTTAAAAATTTAACTATATATTAAATGTGTCAAAATTAATTACATGAATGATATTTATTTTAAATTTTTTAATTTTAACCCGTGTAATGCACTGTTTAATTTTTTAAGTCTGCCGTGATTATCCCCACCATATTCATCATTGGGTTTTATAGCAAATTATTTCTTGAGAATTATTCCAAATGCTAAAAAAATTACTGACTAGTGGCAACAGCTTTCAAAAATATTTCCTGTGTGTCGAAATATTCTCCTAAATATTTCTGAGATTTTATTAAAAACTTCACGACAGAATGGCGTGAAATATGTTTTTTTATTTATTGTACATAATATGTAAGAATTTGAAGTCCCAAAGTAAAAAAAAAAAAAATCATGGGAATGAAATAATAAACGGTCATCTTCCTGATGTTTCTAATGCGCCAAAGTTCTTATTTGTAATAAAATTCTCATTGATGAAAATTGACTTGGTTAAAATTTTAAACAGGTATTTTTATCTTTAAAATTGATTTGTTTAAAATTTATAAAAAATAAATAAGAATTTATGACTTTGAAACATCGCATGTGGCTGAAAATTTAAATAAAATTAATCACTGGTGATGGGGTTAAATAAAAAAAGGAGTTAATTCCTTTAAAACAATATCTAGAATTTTAACATTGCCCTCTAAAAAATACATATCTTTCTTTTGGTAAAACATCACACTTGAATTAAAAGTTTTAATACTCATAAGATTATTGGTTCAAATTCAGATGCTAATGTAAAGACTTTGTTTATAAACCATCTTTAAGTAATCTTATAAGTATTCTTTAAATTTGAAGGTGTGCCCTAATTGTCTAATTGAGCCTTCAAAATTCCACTTACATAGGTTTTTTTTTTTTTTTGGAGGGGGGCGGGGAGATCGCACTTGAATTTCAAAGAAGGGCCATCCCAAATATTGGGCCTAATAATACTTATGTTTGATATGATAGAATTTTTTCCGTGAGTAGAAATTTAGATGATGATTTGATTTTATTTATAAGATAAATTACAAAATTTGATAAGTATTAATTTTTTTGAACATGCCCTTATTTTAATTTATAAAATGAATTGTTATTAATATTGTCTTTTCTATTAAAAGGTTACAAATAAAAGTAACATTAAAATAAAGGTTTAAAAATAGAAGTAATTTATGACAAATTAATTTAGTTTGATTAGCATGTGAGAATTAAATAACTTTGCCCTATAAATAAAAACTGAGGGAGTGCCTGATATTAGATGATTGTACAAATAAATAAATAAATTTCAAGCACCTAACACGCGAATCTATTTTAATTCAAAAAATATGCACATTCATGCCACACACACATCTGGTACATGACTGCTTGAATTAGTTGCTTACTCAAAAGAGAGCCAAATGGAGAAGGTTTTGGTTATTTCTATCAAATCAGTGATGAAACTAATGATTTTGCTGGGAAAGGAAAAAAAAAAAAAAGGAAAGCATCTGATAACAGAAAGACCAATTTTCTTTTACATCTTGAACTGATTCCTGACAAAGGGGTAAAGGAATAGGTGGACTCAGTTTCAACTCTCAACCTCCACAACTTTAAAAGAAAGGCAAGTTAAAACAACAACAAACAAAAAGGAAAATTACAGAGATGCCCACTTTCATAAACATCACAGACACATTAAGAAAACGACAGTGAATGCTCATAAACTAATTGCGCAGGTAGGTGGATTTCTGTGAAATTCCCTAGAACTCCAAACAACTAATGAAAGCTCATGAAACTAGGTGCCTCGGTAAATTTTTCTTGCCTAAAACAACCACCTCTGATAAATCTTTATTAGCTCATTCATTCATCCATGACACATCTAGCTATTACATTACATTACATGTATCTAAGAAGAAGCTTTGTTGGTTGTTTGGATTTTAACAGGATATTTCTTGGCATTCTTGACAATCTTAGTGAGAGCAGCTTGACCAAGATCAAGGCCACACACATCTGCAAGACGAACCAGATAGAGCAGAACATCAGAAAGTTCTTCTTCTAAATGCTCTTTATCATCTCTACTCCAATTGGGTAAGCCCTTTTCTACTTCTCCTTTCCACTGGAATATCTCAGATAGCTCTCCCACTTCTCCTACCTGCAAAACCACACCACAAAATCTTCATAAAAAAGAACCCATGTGAATCTAATCAGGTTTAAGCAGGGCTTACAAGAGCTAAAAGCAGGTTTCTAGGACTGTGATACTGATCCCATCCTCTGAGCTCAGCAAACTCAGCAAGCCTTCTGCTAATTTCCTGAAGAGAAACATCTCTGAGAGTTGCTGCAGCTCCATTAGAGCACTCCATGCCTGTGTCTAATGAATCTCTTCTCTTGCTCATGCTTGGAATTGCAGCAGCCCCATTCATGTCCAATTTATAGACAGCTTGAGACTACAGGTTGTAGAGAGAGAGAAGGAAGAAATTTTCTAACTGATATATGCACCAAGTGTTACTAGTGGAGGAGTACTTGAGTGCTTTTGTTTTGTGTTTGGGAGTGGGACAGTAATCATGTGAAGAATGGCTAATATGTCTACATCTTTTCCATCAATGACTTGAAATCACTCACACACACCCACCTGATTAATGTTTAGCCTGAAACTCACTGTCATGCCTGCCTATATACGCATGTGTCCCCTATTTTTCTGTACAAGAGTCATGCTCTGTTCCTCTCATCATCCTACATAGCTCGTTTTGGATTTGTCTTTCCCTTCCAACTTGATAGGTTTTGTGTGAGAAGAAACGACAAAGAAACCAAGTAAACTTGCCATTAATGTTGCTTGAGCTTATCTAGTTGCGCGAGGATTTAGACAGACTATCTTCAGGTAATGAAGCGGACTGTGAATCTCAGGCAGTTGCGTTTCCAAGAGGGAAGAGATATGAACAAGTAGCCTACCAAATCTACAAGATTGGGGACATCTATAGGATTCTGGAAATTTTGGTATTGGAATGTGTCTACTCTCGAAGAATTTGTAGGGTAATAAAACAAAGCCAATCCCCTATTTTGCTAAGGCAAAGTGAACCCTAAAGATTTGAACCTAGATTTTCTGTTGTCGCCTTATTTGGCATGCGAAAAAATTATGAATAAAAGGAAATTTAACTTGTGAAATTATTTTGTATCATTTTTTAGAAATCTAATTAATATCCACAAACAAACACCTAGGTGATACTCCCTTCGGTTTCATTTATAAGTCCCATTTTAAAAGATTCATTTGGTCCCATTTATAAGTCATGATGCATCTTTTTAGATAATATTTGAGAGATATTTTCAAAATTACCCTTCATGAGAGAGAAAGGGTAACAAGACATTATTTTTTAAATTTGTTATATAGGGGCATGTTTGAAATTTTACTTACTTTTATTCCTTGTACTTTTATTATATTGGTATTAATGAGGTTGGTAGAAATAACTTATAAATAAGACCGAAGAAAGTACGTTGTTTTTTGGCCAAAAGAGAAGTATGCATTCATTCATAAGTCCAGGTGATATGTTGTTTAAAGATGTATATCATTCACAAACTGATGTAAGTTTTGAGCTTATAAATAAAAGAAGATCAACAGGAAAAGAAATTGCAACTTCAAGATCATAAAATTTGTTGAGTTATATGTGGCTGCTAGTATTATGTAATTAGATGGAGGTGATCACGAGGTGAGGCAAAGGAGGGACAGCTTCAATATTTTTAAAACGTTGGAAACATGATAAACTAGTGTTGTCAAACAGCAACAATATGGTGCATGAATCTTTGGGCCAAAAAACTATGGTGCATGAATCATAAGGAATATAAATAAAGCAGATGCTTCTTATGCCTTATGAAGGCCATACTATTGACTGTCATCCCGCTTGTCCTTGCGATGGTCTTTTTATTTTTTATTTTTTTGGGGGTTGGGGTTTCTAGGATTCATGAAAATAACCAAGATAATAAAAAGTAATTACTAAATTATATCAGTATACATATTCCTTGATGTGTGTTGGACAATATGCATTCAAATCAAGTTTATCATCATCATCATCATCATCGAAGACTCAGTTGGTCATTATTTCTTTGCACCATTGATAGAAGAATATGTTCAGAGAGTGAACAAAGTGATGATAGATAGGCTTCAGAGTATAATTAACCAGATAATAGTATTTTCCACTGATTGAAGGTTTTTTTCAATCACATCAAAGCTGCAGAAACTGTAGTGCTGGAGATTCATCAAAAGGGAGAGAAACCCTAAAACAATACTGAATCAGTGTAGTATACAATCATAAATTTGAGCCACTTCTTCAGCATAATAAAGGATGGATAATCATATGTGAAAGTGATATGACTTCCTAGGTAAATTATATTCTTACAACTTACACTATGCATATTTCTTTTCCTGATCAAACACAACAGGGTTCACTCGAGAAGCATTTCAAATCATAATCAGATTCACCTTTTGAATTATAAACCTTGCCAGAGTCTGCTAGTTAAGTAATAACCGAAATGCTGAGGATTCATCAAAACAAAAAGAAAGAGAATAAAACTACTAAAACAGTGTGGGTTAGTTGGGGTTGTTTAGCTTGTAACTGTCTTGATTGGTCTGATATCATCTCAACCCAAAACAATTAAGACGGCACTTTGCAAAACCGAATAGAAAAATGGTTCAGGAGGAGACGGGATATGAGATTACCATCGGAACGTCTTATGCCGAATATTATATATATATATATATGTTATTTTTTATTTTAAAAATATACACTAAATATATTCATTATGTTAATATAATTTATACTTATATTAATTATATCAATATAATTTATTCTTTTGTTTATCTATTTAATAATTTTTATTTATATCATTTTTTGCTTTATTTTTGAAAGAATAATTAACTTAGCATATCTCAACTAAAATAGAACAACAATGATTTAATATTGTGCCTAGCTTGTTTGTTGCTGCCGCCGTTATAGCCTAAAAATTGCTTGTAATTACTATCATAATGTATAGTTACGATTAATGTAATTCAATAATTGACTTTAAATTATTGTGATTTATGTGCTTGGTGTTGTTTTGATTTTAAATTTAATAAATTATATAATTTAAAATTTTAATACATGTTATTATTCAGATCATTTTTCAATATTATTCGATTTATCGAAACAACAAAACATCTCATTCTTGTCCTGATCCTATCTCGATTCCTAACGAGACGGGACAACTTTTAAGACTGAACACGGGATAAAAATTTAGTCTCAATTTTTTTTTCAAAATAAGACACAGGACAAAAGTGTCTCAATCTCGTCCCGTCTCGTGAACACCCTTAAAGTTAATAAGACTGAACAACTTCATCAATATAATGAATCATGGAAAGTTCATCCTGTGAACAAATAAGAACTCATAACCACCCTAATGTGGAGAACTTGTCAACTATTTCTGTTAAGAAAGATAAACAAAAATAACCACCGCAACGACCGATTCATCCATGAAAAAAGAAAACAAAACTGAGAAGCTTCTTCAGCATAATGAATGATACATGAAGATTTCTGTATACACAGAAAACAATCATATGTGCACGGGACATGATTTTCCTATGTAAAGTATAAACTACTTTACAACAATATGGACAATTGCCTGTTTGTTTATTGTTTTCTTCTCAACATCCTATATACTTTTTATTTTCCTTCCTTATCAGGCACAAAATGCTTCACCTCACCAATGACTCAGATGTTCATAGCTTGAATCGCTCTTGGGATTATACACCTTAATCAACATATCCAGAACCTCCTTCATCGTAGGCCTAGCCTGCGGTGTCTCCACCGTGCACCTCACCCCTATCTTCAATAGCTTCATCATCTCCTCCATCCCTTCAAGCAAACCAGAACCCATCAGTACCACTGGAATCACCGGCCGGCCGATTGGCCTATTTCTTCCCTGACCTATCACCCTCCTTCCCCATTCCACCAAACATTCCTCCCCTCCGTCTAATGCTCTTCTTCCCGTCGCCAACTCCATAGCCAACACTCCATAACTGTAGACGTCACCCTTCGTCGTCGCCTTCCATGTGTGGCCGTATTCCGGTGCCACGTACCCCACTGTCCCAGCTACCATTGTGCTGACGTGGCTACCTCCGACATCAACCACTCTGGCTAGTCCAAAGTCCGTGACTTTGGCCTTCCCTGTTTTGTTGTCCAATAACACATTGCTGGCCTTCACATCTCTGTGAACGATTGAAGGGTAGCACTCATGGTGTAAGTAAACCAAAGCTTGAGCAACGTCAATGGCTACTTCTAGCCGTCTTTTCCATGTGAATTTCGTTCTGTCAGTCACGAGATCTTCCAAGCTTCCACCTGAAATGTATTCATAAACCAGTATTTTTTCTGAGCCGTCAAGGCACCAACCGTAGAGTGTGACGAGGTTTGGGTGGGGCCAACCGAAGCGATGGCCACTAAGAACCTCCATTTCTGCTCTGAATTCTTTTTCGCCTTCAAGTCCTTCTCTTTGGAGTTTTTTCACTGCCACTTCTCTCCCATCTGAAAATATTCCTCTGTACACTGTTCCGAAGCCTCCTTTGCCTATGATTCTATTGTCTGAGAAATTCCCTGTGGCTTTCAAGATGTCGGCGTGTGTAAAAGCTGTCCTATCCAATCGAATAACCTTAACTATATCCGACAACCATGGGGATGAGGTTCCAGACTCATGGTCGAGTTTTGAGACTGTCAGGAGTGGTTCTTCTGATGGGGTTTTTATCAGTAGACAAACGATGACAGTAAGGAGACCAAATATTAAGAAAGCCAGAGTGAGAGCAAAGAACACCAAGATAACAGAGAGATTTATGGATTTTTTGAGGGCTCTGTTGTGGGAGGTCGTGTTTTTCTGATCATTGGTGGTGTTGTCAATGAAGCTTGGAAGATGCAAGAGGGGATTCCCCAAGTACGAGTATTTCTCGAATGTAGCTAGTTGTCCTGCAGATGGAATCTCACCTGATATCAAGGGATTATAAGAAATGTTGAACTTGCTGAGCTCTGACAAGTTGTTGAGACTTGAGGGGAAAACCCCAGAAAAATTATTGTAGGAGAGATCGAGATTCTGTAAACACTTCATGGTCCCAATTTCCCAAGGGATTTCCCCAGAAAACTCGTTTCTTGTTATGTTCAATACCACAAGCCGCAAACTTTTCACCTCTGCAGGAAGTTTCCCAGAAAATCTGTTAAGCCCCAAATGCAACATGCTCAGGTTCTGCATCGTCCCAATTTCTGGAGGAACTTCACCTGAGAGTTGGTTCCCACTTAGCTGGACATAGCCAGAGATTTGAGATAATGGTGAAAATGTCCCTGCATTGCAAATGGGGAAAATCCCATACCCTTTGAGCAATCTGTCCCAAATGCTTCTGCAATTCTTCCTCGTAAGGATGTCATACACAAAACTAAATGGAGGGTAATCTGCAGGTATCCATCTTTTCATGGCTAAGCACTCACCAGAGCCAGCACTGACCGTCTCATATTGCCTATTTGATTCAAATGTGGCCATGGCGTTTCTTCCTATATTGGCCAATTCAGGTGGGAATTTTCCCGTGAGCTTATTATTCGCAAGGTTTATCCATAATAAGCTCGAACAGTTTCCCAGCTCTCTTGGGATTTCACCTGTTAATGAATTATTCGCAAGCATGAGCCATAAAAGAGAGGTTAACTTTCCAAGAGTTGGTGGGATTGGCCCAGATAAGTTGTTGAAAGATAGGTCAAGAGCTTGAAGGCGAGGCAAGTTTCCAAATTCAAGTGGAATAGGTCCTGTGAATTGATTGTAGGCTAACATTAATAACTTCAAGCTTGACATTTGAGAGATTTCTGTGGGTAATGGACCTGAGAAGTTGTTGCAGCTTAGGTCCAAGCGTAAAATATTTGGCAACTTGAGAGTTCCTGATGAAGATAATCCTCCAGTGTAATTATTTGAGTGTAACAGAAGATACTTCACCTGCTTGAATTTCCCAAATATCTCTTGTATGTTCCCACCAAATTGATTTCTAGTTAAATCCAAGAATGCTAAATTGGTCAGGTTCAAAAGTTCTTCTGGGATGTCTCTTGAGAAATTGTTGTTCCCCAAGTACAATGCTTCAATCCCAGAAATGGAACCAACTTGTTTAGGTATTGATCCGTTGAATTTGTTGCTGGAAAGATTCAGGATCGTTAAATTCTTGCAGTTAGCGAGCTCCTGCGGGACATTCCCTGTGAACATATTTTCTGAAATGTCAAGTACTTCAAGATTGCACTTCACTGGAAAAGCTGATGGAGGGATTGTCCCACTGAGAACATTCTCTGAAACAGAAAACATTCTCAGCTTCGCAATTCCCATCCATATGCCCCCACTCAGCTTATTAGTGCTCAAATCCAAATACTGCAATTTCAGGCACTGATCGAAGCACTCATCAACCCTACCAGTGAAGCTATTCCCTGAGATATTCAAACTGATCAGATTGTCACAAATGGCAGGGAAATGAGACCCAAGATCCCCGTGAAGCCTGTTGCCTGATAGGTCCAGAGTTTGTAAGTTCGTCAAGCCAATCAAATTCAACTCTTCGGGAAGAATATTGTACGAGAGATTAAGATACACGAGCTTGTGGCACCGCCTCAAGTCCGCCGGAATCTTGCCGGAGAGTGTGTTCCGGGAGAGGTCAAGGTGCGTGAGTTGAGTGAGCTGAGAGAAGTTCTGGAATATCTGGCCAGTGATTTTGTTGCCGGAGAGGTCGACTCCGACCACCCTCCTCGTTGTTCCATTGCCGCTGCACGAGATTCCCGACCATTCACAAGGATTCGAACTGCTCGTGTTCCAGTTAGTGTAACGTCCTTGGTCTACTAGAGTTTGATTGTTGAGATACGATTTGAGCTGGAGCAAAACTTCTCTGTCTGTGTCCAAAGAATCTCCGGCAACTATTTTACCTGCTGAACAATCAACATAACCAAAATTGTCTCGGCTAGGATTTCCAGAATAAACAAATACTGTTCGCAGAAATTGATGATATAAAGAAATACAAGTACAAAGACCAAAGATCAATCCTCTTCAATAAAGAATCCTTAAGCATCACGCAAAACCCAGAAGGGATGGGAACATAAAAGAGCGAGCTTTGAAGCAGTACCAGAGAAAATGATTGCGAAACAGATCAATAGTAAGCCCCAGGAATCTGTTACATGCTGTGACATTTATGTAGCTGTTTGTATTATCTTCTTCCACCTCCACCTCCTCCTTCTCCTTGTCTTCTGCAACCTATCTTTCCTTTTTTCCTCAGAAATCATATACAGCGAAAAACCAAGAGCGGAATTTCGAAGGGTCAACAAAATACGAGAGAGTTGAGGCCATCAGGATGTCTGTTGGAGTGCAATCGCTTAAGGTATAAAAAATTGAACTTGGACTGGACGGATTGGTACTTCAAATACTTCGTTTTTTCTTGAATGTTGTGGGGTAATGCTAGTTTAAAGAATTGCAATTAATGAGAAAAATACAATTTTTTTTTTTTAAACGGTGGTTGGGAGCTGTGTTTCTCTGTTTGTGAGTGTCAAATCAGGTTAATATGTTTCCACTTTCTGGTGTTTGTTGATTTATGATGGATGGCTCGAGAGGGAAGAATCCGGACACTCACAGGGAAGAAGTGGGCGGTCGAGCCGCCGTTGCTGACCCACCGGTTCGGGGAAGCTTGAACCACAAAGATTTTGACCCGAATGTGTCGACTTTGAAGTTTGACCTTTGAACTCTAAACAAGAGACACTGACAATTACAAACATGCTTCTTTTGCGCGGATCAAAAATGAGACAATACGGTTTATGTCTAGTTGATTTATTAAAAAATTAAAAAGAAAAAGGGGAAAAAAAAAACGGTAAGGTTAGAAAAAGACGCGGACGATCAATTTGTTGTTGGGTGGATGGACTTGGAAGATTCGTAGATGATTTGGCAACCATTAAGATTGTTAATGCTCACGATTCGTGGGGAAAACACTTCCATGGATTTTAATTTGATAGAGTTGAATCTTTTAGTATCCCTCGTTTAGATTGTTAAGCTTGATAGTGCGTTTCCATTTATTTTTAAATTTTTTAATTAAACAAATTATTGATGAGAAAATATAACTTTTAATCCTTAAAATTTTTTTAATGATTAATTCAATCCTTGATTTCAAATACTTAGTTGCTAATAGAGTATAATAACATTGTGTGGTGACTACGGTTTATATAATCAACAATACCTAAGAAAATAAGGTTAATTGTTATTGTATATATCAATTTAATTCTCAAACTCTAACTATAAACAATTTAAGTCTTTTAATTTATTGACTCAAAACAACTTAATTTTTATAGTTAGTTCAATTGGCACAATTTGACCTCTATACTTCATTAACTCAATGAGTCACAAAGGATAGAGTTATAAGAAATCAAAATTTGCTAACTAAATTGATAATTGAGAGAAAGTTTGGGGGCTAAAAAATTACATTATTTCAATCTTTAACCAACATTACTTTAAAATGAGTGAGAGAAAATACTATTCTAAATTGCAGTCGGGAAATACTTTAGTAAAATAATTGAGGGCTCATTTGTTGAAATTAGTTGTTTCCAATCAATCGATTTTATATTTAAAATCAAACTCATAAATTTAAATAAATTCCATCTCAATTCAAAAGAATAGAAAAAACTAAATGCAAAAGCATATCTAAATCTACAAGCAAATATATCACAAGATTTCAGATATTGATGTATTAATTTATTGTGATCTTTTAAATTGTAAATATCTAAAACTTTCTCATGGTTCTCCCAAAAAGGCCTATGGAGCTAGTTTTTTGTTAAACAATCGGGGGACCACAACCCCTATTATAAATTTATATTTGTGATATTTATAATTAAGTCCATTAACAACTTATAAATATTACTCAGGTCTCCGCACGTTAATTCTATAAAAATTACGCCTATGAAATCTTAAAACTTGTCCAAATAGACCACTTTAATTTATTCAAGCTAACAATGACCACATATTATTAATATTTACATGTGTGGCCCCATGGTTGAATTTTATTTCAACACCATTTGCTTGCTAGAAAAGAACAAAATGTAATGGATTAAAAAAAATGATAGAAACGAATTAAATTATTCAATCTCTCATGATGAATATGATAAACTAAATGCCACATGTTCCAAATGTAAGAGTTACCACATTCATCACAAATTTTATAAATTATGATTCTCAACTTCATAAATTAAATCATCTTCTTTTATGAACATGTTGACTCATCTCTTATCCACCTTTGATAATAATATTTTTACATTTACTTTTTAATTCATTCCTTTCCGAACCGGCCCTGAGCAGATTAAATGTTTGATAAATTGTAGAAAACTACCAAGTGGATTTGCCATGAATTGAACCGGCAGCATAGACAAAGAGCCAAAAACAACCGACCTACGGCTCCCATGTAACCAAACATGGTGCAGTAAAGAGTTAGGGCAAATTACCAAGTTGGTGTTCGGTATAAATTGAGAGTTCATGTTTAAAAGAACCATTTCTTATTTTAATCCAATCATGTTCATGAATCATTGTCAACGATATTCTATACCATGTAGAGTACTTGTGTAAAAAAGTAAGGGCAAGTTAATTAATTAATGCTGTAAAAATATCTTAAGTAATAATGTATATCGTAAATATTTACAATGATCTATTGCTTAAAAAATTTCTACACATAATATACTTGACAGAACATGGAGTGTTCACCCAACTTACTTTATCATGATTAGCTGTAACTAACTTGTAAATTTAACATCTTATACTTTGTCTGTTCAAAAATTTAAGGCATTTTTAATTGAATTTTACCTTTAATAAAATAATTACCTATTTTTAAACTAACCATTTCTTTTTATATTTACCCATATTAAATAAATAACAATAAATATAAAGTCATTCATTAATAAAAACATTTTTTTAAAAAAATAATGATTACACCTCAAAAAATTAAAAATACCTTGCATTTTTTAACATCAAATTCTTTAAAAAATATTTTATATTTTTAAAAAAGAGGGAGTATGAGATTTGGGATAAGTTGCATAGTGCATGATTCATGAATAAATGCACTTTCTATAGACTTTACATAGATATATAAATACAGATCCCTTTTTTATAAATTAAAATTCTCTATTCAGTGACTGGACTAAATTGCTAAACAGCGGGACAAAATTGTATCCATGAAAACAAGGGATAAAAATAAAACTTAAGATAAAGTTAGAAAAAAAAATGAACGCAAAAGTTCAGATAAAGTTAAAAGATTATATTGAAATTGAATAAGTTAAGAAGAAAATTAAAACTTGAGCGAATGTCAAAAGATCACATTAAAACTAAATATAATTAAAGGATACAGATTGCCAGAATTTTACTCTTAGCCGAACAACAGCAAACCAAACCCACAGAAGCACTTGTCAACGTCATTAGTGATGTAAGCCAGGACTTGAGATGTTAATTTTCACAAGCTTTGCTATTAATTAAAAAACGCAATGACATGAAGAGTGAACAAATATCAAGCTAATCGGCTGAAAGGGACGGCTAACTAAACCCATTTCTTGTAGTAATCTATATTTTTTCTATTTCTCCCTAAATTTAAATACCGAAAATTACAATGTTTTTTTAATCTACGGCATTACTGCGAAGCCGTATTTTTTACTAGTGTTCAACTTTAATTTCTTTTGCATCTTTGCGTGTAAATATCTAAAAAAATTCTGACAAGTATGCAATATATTTCCTCCATTAAAAAATTAAAATTATTTTTAACCTAATCTAACCCTTAATAAATTAGTTAACTGTTTTTAAATTAATATCATTTTTTAATATTTATCCTCATTTAATTTGATATTTTACTTAAAAATAAATATAAAATAATTTATTTCTCAAGGACATTTTTACAAAAAAAACATTAATTACACCCTTTTTTTTCAATTATAGCGTACGTGTTAGGTGTTTTATCAGATTAATGTAGTATTTCATGTAAGGATTAATAGTAATGTCCAAATTGTCACAAATTATTTCCCAGGGAGAATGATAATTAAAAATGAGATAGAAATGACAAATTAAAAGTGCAACAAATAAAGGAGGAGGATGACAGGTTGAATGCCCCGCGTGTTAGGGTCGAACGATAAAGACAAGTCAAGAGAATTTTTGGGAGAAAAATTTTGTTTTATTCTATGCGTCTTTTTAAAAGGACAAATGCAATACTACTAATAATAATTCATTATGCCCCTATTCATAATCTCAGTGATAATTTATAGTTCACTTGTTTCCCTGTCTTCTTTTTATTAATTATTATAAGATGAATTAAGGGTTGGTTTGAAAAGGTGAAAAAATTCTGCCATGTTAAATTATATTTTTAAATGTGTGTGTATTTCTTCACCTTTTTTTTTTTTTCCATTTCTTCACCAATTAAATGGTCCCTTCCAAAGATATGGCAGGTCCCACAGCCATGGAACGAGGGCTCAACAGGATACATGGATGGTTCAAGTTGCAAACGATGTACGAGGAGAGTACCGTGAGCTGTGATTTGCGGTCGTGTTTCTTTTTCTGCAAGGAAATGAATAAATATACAGGTGAAGGTTGGAAAATATTCACACTAATCCCGTTTAATAATGTTATAACGTTTTTGAAATATAATGTTAAAAAATAATCCCTTCAATAAATAATATAAACACATTTTAACATCAATCCGAGATATAAAACTCTTATTCTCATAAAAATATATTTTATTTTTTTCATTTTATACCTATTCCTAATTTATGATGATTCATAAATTCACAAACAAAGAAAGAATTTAGACTAATAAATATAAGGGTAAAATGAATTTTTTTTTAACAAATACTAAGATATTTATATTTGGATCAAAAGGAGTGTAACATAATTTGAATATTTCAATGTATTAAATAATATGATTTTTTTAAAAAATATCCATAATTAATAAAATATTCTAATTGAAACAATATATTAAATAAGGATTTTACCACAGAATTATATTAAATAAGGATAACCATGCCAAAAAAAAGTATAATTTTAAATTTCATTAATTAACTTATTAGAGAATATAAATTAGTTAAAATTGTCTTATAATGTGAGTATACATACTAAAAAAAAACTGAAGTGAAATGCAAGTGGGATACTCTCATAATCTCATACAGCTTAAGCAAAGTCTTTTAGCCTAATTAACGCGTGTCAAGGTCCCCCAGCCACCGTTAAAAGAAAAGAAAATGACATGCAGGTTCATTTGAAGACATTTATTAACAAGGAATATGATCACAGTTTTGAGTAATTCTAGAATCATTCATTGATCAATGGTCGTCATTTATGAAATTTATGTAATTATAAAATTTCTCCTTTTTTTTCTTTTTGTAACTTCTCTTCCCTCTACCATTAGAGTCCATGTTGACGCCAATGTCATCGCCATTTGCATTCATGTTACAGTT